TGTGCCTACAGTTGGGCGGTGCTGGTGGCCAGGTGTTTCCGACAAAAGTCCGAGTCGGTCTACTCTTCTATTTCATTCTAACGGCAACAACGCCCCCCACACACGGACCCGTCCCCTCGCCTGCTCGCTCTCTGCCTCACTGCCCTCTTACCCGTCCACACATGGCCAGCAGGCGACTTCCGCCCATGAACAAAGTCGCCCTTCTTCCGTCCCTGCACGTGCCCCTGTCGCTAGCCAAACAGTACTGAATCAGGCTGACTCGCCGACGCACAACTAAGCTACATTGAGGCACATTCGAAACACAAACACGGCTTTCCAGTACGCCCGAACACTGGGCAGCTATGGGATCTCTCTGTCATCATGTCCCACTTGATTCATTGACCCAGGTTGTACTGAACTTTCAGAATATTACAGAAAATTGGATATTGTTAGGCTGGCGGCTGCTTATACATGCTTGTATGTTTTACCCAAACAGAGGAACTAAGTATGGTGTTGTGAATGTCGATAAATTTTACAGCCATTGCCATTGTTTGCCAACCTTCATTTATGTTAGATTGCAGATCTTACTTAGTCCCAATTATTAGTATAGTGGGGGAGCAGGTTATTGACAATGCAAGTTTCGTTGAAAAGAACTGCGTATCGAGCGTTTAACACTTTCTTCGCCGTGTTTTCGAGTTCTCGGACTATTTTCTTGTATTCTCTTGGGTATCTGAACCGAGACCTGGACCCCATCATCAACCGCCAGCTCAACATGCGAGGCGCGCTGACGCTGTACGACAGCGCGCCGGGCTCCGCGCACCCTTAGACTGGGCACTGGGCAGCATTGTGTCAGGATGACGGCCATCCGTATGCAAATGTGTACATCGGCTCATATGAAGTAGTTGCCGGTAGTTTTCACGTGATTAACCCGCGCCGTGCTGGTGGCCTGAACTTTCCGCCGAGTGCTGGGGGGGGGGGCGTTTTCACGCCCCCCCGTCTAACTCGGCTCCTGGGCCACGTAGCGACACGCGGTAAGCGGCAATCGAAAGAGTGTCAAAAATAAGGACGAAAACACTTCGGTCATTTTTTGGGTCAGGTCAAAGGTCAGGTCACCAGAGGTCACCAAAGGTCAAATGTCCACTATTTCAACATTTTGGAAACTGCCAACGGCTATCTCGGGAACCGATAGAGCTACAGCGCCGCGGAAAAGCGCATTCGATAGCCCTTTTACAGACCTTTCTGAGTAATGTTCTAAGATTTGACCTCAGGTCAACGGTTTAGCCTCCAGAGGGCAAAAACTCCAAAAATAGCCGTTTTTACGAAAAACGTTTTTTCGTCAATAACTTTTGACTCATAAGCGCCATGACATTACTTTTGCCAGCATCGTGTTCCTCTCGTCGAGACGCGTCGAATGAACTATTTGTTGACCTTGAAAGGTCATTTTGAAAATTTGACCTCAGCTCAAGGTCATGACCTGACCGAAAAGGGTCATGTTGCATATCAGTCGATCCGTATCGTCGAGCTGAACACATCTGACGTGTTTTCACCGCTCTAGCACGTCTCTATCAAAAGTTATAGCCAAAAAACTGCTGGCGACCGTTCATGACCTGAGATGACCTCAGGGGCACACAGAGGGGTCACAGGTGCATTTTTCCTATTCAGTGTGTCATGTTTACCTATGAACCGATGTTTGAGAGCGTTTTGAACGATATTCGTCCAAAAGAGGCGCATTTCAATTTTCTCCCATTGACTTATAATGGAGAGGTCGCAAAATTGACCTGACCTTAGGTCACAGATATCAAAAATCCGAGATATACATTTTATACATACTGTTACTCATATCAATCGCTGAAAGTTTCAAAGTGATCGTTCAGTCGGTGTAGCTATAGCGAGCCTTTGAACTTTTTCTGAGGTAAGGTCACTTGACGTGACCTGGTGACCTGACCTTGAACGGCCTAGGTCTGAAATTTTCACAACATGTGCGGAAATGATGTAGGAACACGTGTACCAAAAACGGCGGCGCTGCGCGCCGCCGTTTTTGAGATATTCGCGAAAAACCTGAGGGGGGGGGGCGTAAAAACGCCCCCCCCAGCACGGCGCGGGTTAACCAAAAACAAATGTCCTACTTTATCAGTTATCGTGCTGCTCTCGCATCCACATAGGGGAGAGTGGGGTAAGATGCCCAGGGTGGGAAAGACGCCCCACCCCCTCTAGCGGCGAAACAAAGAATTGAACCCGGAAATTAATGTTCTTAGCGTAAAGCGGAAGCCTGCCTTGTTAACTGCACAAAAATTTGCGAAGCTCAGTTGGGCAACGGCTGGCTGGTGAATGCATGTTTTTTATTTGCTGCTTTCGAAAAATATTTTGGTGTTAAAACATTGTAAATATCAAAGAAGGTAGATAATTTTTGCGTCCCTTGATATAGTCGTGATACATTAACATGCGTGTACTGTGTCCCAAACAGTTTGTTTCAGGGTGTAGTTTTATGGCTAACATATTGTACTGATTTAATGTTACTTCGGTACCTTGGGGTAAGATGCCCCCTGTCCTGATGGGGAAAGACGCCCCCCTAAATCCGTAGGCTGTCCTTCAAGCAGCCCGTCAAATCATTTATTACATGCTTGTGATGAGAGACAAAAGCCGATCTGGGACTATTGAGAGTTCAGTACGGTCGGGTGCTCCCCATGCCGGTCTCTCGGCCCACACAGCGACTTTTTGGGCGGCATCCGACTCTGAGAGCCCTCACGACGGCCTCGGTGGGCCCCATTATTGGCTCCAGGGCCCCTCACGATATCCTTTGAGGGCTCCCACGTTGGCTCCACGGGCCGCGCTGGCATCTGCGGTCCCCACGATGGGCTCGAGGGCCCTCAAGCATCATGAAGACCTATAAGGGCCCCACAGTGGTCTCCGAACGCCACCACGGAAGCTTGTTTGGCCGCGCTGGACTATGATGACCCTAACGATGACCTCTGAAGCACCTTACGACCACTTTTGAGGGCCCTTACGATGACGTTTGGTGTCTACTGCAGGCTCGAAGGGACTACTGATTCGTTCAGGCGATTCACGTGCCCATTTATGTCACTTATAGTGCAGGGGGCATCTTCCCCAACGCCAGGGGGCGTCTTCCCCACCCTGTGGGGTAAGATGCCCCCTTTGACTTCTTCAGGAAAATGCTTTATAGCAAAAAAAGTTATCATATTTCAGGCACGAAAGTGTGATGTTTTTGGAGAAAAATGATGTCGACTTCCGTTGAAACTCCAAGTTTTTGCTTTCCGATCGTCATTTTCGAATAATATATGACATAGTAAAACCCTGGGCATCTTTCCCCACTCTCCCCTACTTTTAGAGTCACAGTCAAGCAGCTTTTCGTATAATTTTGTAAATATGTACTTTTAATTTAGCCTGAAGATGTTCTATTATGAACGAAACGTCGCATACTCATCAATACAGTGGGACCTATTTTGGAACTATCGTGTCTGAATACCCAAGAGAATACAAGAAAATAGTCCGAGAACTCGAAAACACGGCGAAGAAAGTGTTAAACGCTCGATACGCAATATATATACGCCGAAAAAACAAGACGGGGGTCAAAACACCCCCCCCCCCCGACCCAGCGAGGGCTAAATGTTCAAATATATGTTACTGAACAATATGTTAAAGGAAGGGTGCCACCTTCCGAAATTTTTGTTCTATGAATCTATTTTACTTATTTGAATTTTTAGACGTGGTTAGCGCGTCCACAATATACAAAAAACCGAAACATTGCATTTAATACATTGGCCAAAAAAAAAAGATCGTTGTTTATATCACCACTACAACTCAAGGTCGTTTGATGTGGCAGCTAGGACGGCTGGCATATCCTGTTGTCATGGCAACATATCATTCTGCCATTTGCATTGATGGCGCAACTGAGACAAAAAGATGAACAAATAAAAAGGAAGAAGATAACATGATTTGAACTAAGTTGTAGGTAACCAAGTAGGTAACTGTTGGCCATATTTGCCAACAGTTAAAGAACATCAAATAAGTCGAGTAAAGGTTTTTCCTTTACAATGCTTAAGAGATCTATGGAACCCTTCACCCTTCATGCAACTTACTAGAAAAACTTCCCAATTAAAATTTTAAAACTTAAGTGTATACCATAAAGAAAAAATATACCCTTTCAAAATGATAAAACATGCTTCAAAAGTATAACTTTTATCCATACCTTTGCTGATTTCATGTTTTATAAAATACCCTTAACACGACGAGGAAATAGTGCTGAAGATTTTTGCCTGCCCGAATGCTGGCAGCAAAACTCGCAAATGATAACTTCACGTGCGGATTCAATGCTGACCGTCTCGAGCATAGGTAAGTGAAGCCGGTTTTTAGGTTCATGTGAGGCTAATCTTGTAAAAACTGCGTTGTGTCCAAAAGGTGGCACCCTTCCTTTAAAGTTTCTTTCGGGAACCATTGACCAAAACCAGAGGCAATCCGCCTCACCTTCAAGCGCAAGGATTAGATCGCAAACCGAAATGTCAGTTCAACAGACCAAAACCATGTAGTTTGGTAAATATACATCAAGCCTACATACATACCTACATTAGATCAGCTTCAACTGAACGGACCACCCGTTCCGTCGTTTCCATCCTCAGGACAGTCAAATCCTTCTCCTCCACGCCTCAAACCCCCTGCTCCGGGCTGGACGGGCAACTATAACCCATACGGGAATGGCTCCACTGGAGCTAGCCCGTAGCCGGGTGCAGTGAGTGCCAGTGGGTTACGCGGCCTGTCCAACCGGACGGGCTCAGCCCAGGTGACTCACTGGGGTGCCTGTCCAGACCAATGCCTTCCCTAATCCCTATCATCCTTCCGGCTCTGAAATGGTCTTATAGGACAGAAAGGGCCGAACCCAACAAAACAAACAAAAATGAACGGACCGGACAAGAGCATAGTCAAGAGTGTCGGTAGGAAAGTAAATTTATCTCCAGGATCCTTTCGATGGACGCCATAGCCCTCGGAGCCGCCAACGATGAACTGACCTGAAGATGACGGTCCGGCCGGAGAGGAAGTCACAGACTGCCCAGACGTCTCCGAGTGGACGGTCAGTTCCCGGGCCGAGTCGTCTCCGTAGTACACCAGCAGCTCAGAGCCCCGCGGAACGGGCTTTGACGTCCTGCATAGGGAGATCAATATATCACAATTGGTCATGACATGACCTTTATCCAGTCAATACAGCAATGGTCATCAATAACTTAGATGAATCTATGAGAAAATTTGCAGGTACCATAAGGCAAACTGCACACAAAATATAACACGCAGTTTGATAGGACAGATCCGTGGATTTCAAGACAACAACACACCTGAAGTATATCTGACCCCGGTACTGGAAGGCCACTAGGTTTTGTTCTTCCTCCGAGCGGGCACAGTTGACCCTTCTGAGCCAATTGCTGCAGCTCGGGTCTTCGGCATTCACCGAGTGATGCACCCGGTCACCCTTCTTGATCTGAGGTACCAAACAAAAACATAGTCCATCAATTCAAGGAACCAAACAAAAATATCACATCAATCCTGGGACCAAAACAAAAATATCACGTATGCAATGAAAACATTGTCAATTTTCTATGTTTCTAACATTAGTTTGAAATGTGTTCTAAAAGTTTGTAATCGTCTAAATGACTCCATAGTAAGAGATGCGACATGTGACAGTGTAAAAGCAATGGGGGCCGACGCTATATTCTTATACAATATATGAACCAGCAAAAATATGTATTCGCAAGAAGAGCAGAGGAGATTCGACAGAAATGACAAAACTGACCTGCCATCTGTACCCGGTGGTTCGAGCCTGACCCTGTTCGGTGGTCAAGATACCCTCGTAAGGACCGAGTCTTTGGCGCGCAGGAAGGTCCTTTTCTGCCAAAACTCCTGGAATCAAATAAACGCATAACTTGAAATCACCTAAATAGAAACACATGACTGTACTGATACACGGGACACCAAATTATGCAATACAAGCACCATTACCAAATGATACAGCAGTTGCTAAACGCATCGCCATTTGTCTTGCCTCATTAACTTACCGGTGCCAGACGCTGGATTTCTCGACTGACCAGAGCTGAGAGAAGGCGGCAGGGTCTTGACGTCCCTGTCGGCATCTCCGATACCGGGTCGTGCCTGGAATAGTAATGTACCTATTAGTGATGTCAATTACGGATAATCGGAATACCGATACCAAACCAAATACCAACCAAAACCACGGGAAAATACCGAAACCAAACCAACTTGGGAAACTGAGGGAAATACCAACTTTTTACCGATTTCTTAGCCTCTTATACATTAGTGAGGGCTTATGATACCAACAAAATACCAAACACATTACGGTTGAAATACCAAATACCAAGATGGTATCGGTTTGGTATCGGTATACCAAAAAGTTCGTATCCGATTGACATCTCTAGTACCTATGTAGGGCGCAATGTCGACAGAGGATGATATAATGCAGGAATTGAGCTTATCCTTATACTGTACCTATAGAAATCAGCCGGCATGTTTTCGGAACAAAGATCATAGAACTGTTGAACTGGTCGCATCCATGTCAGTATCGACAAAATTGCAGCACAGGCAATAACTGTCAAGAAAGTTTTGTATATATAAAAATCGACAACTTCCACATGCACCTATTGTCATTTTGCAATTTAGCACCAAATCGAACAGATTCAAAATTAAATGTTGAAATATGGGGGGCACCTACTGATGTAACTAAAACAGAACAACACAAAACATGAACAGAGATAATAGGTATGGACTTATGGAGGATAGTCCCTTACCTTGGTATCGTGTATGATCTTTAGCGGTCCATGGACGGGACATTCACCGTCCCAATCGCGGCAGCACACGTCACAAACTGTCAGAAAATAGGGCGGAAAAGTATTATTGACATGATGGAGGATACAGTACGGTTTTATCATTTACGTTTCTGTTACACCGAAACAGTACGTGTTTGGTGGTTCTTATTTGTCTGCAATTTTGTGAGCTCTTATCATGTAAATTCCTCCGTTGATGAGGAAAAGTTGTAATTGACTAAAAGGAGGGAGAATACTCACATATGTTACCATCATCGAGACCATCCACATCACGGTAGTTTATGACGAGACGTGGACTCTTCATGAACTCTCCTTCGGCAAAGACTGCAATGAAATACAATGAATGGTTTTGTATGATTGGGTGGCATTAATCTCAGGCGCCAATTCAAAAGAACGTATGACTGTCAGACCACTACATCACTTTGTAGAGTCTAAATCAAATAAAATTAAAAAACTGACAATTTGTCTGCAAAAGGTACAATACAAAGGTCGATGATAAAATAGAGAGACGAAATGCATTTTCCTGACATCTGTCAACTTACCTTCTGCCGAGTCTTCACTGTCCGACGGGCATCCCAGTAGCATATCCCTTTTTACATTGGACATGAAACAAGCACTGAAAAAAGAAGCACCACAAATATATATCATTTCATCAAATGGATAGTCTAGAATGTCAAATAACTACTCAAATTTCAGCAACACTGAGTCATGCCCTCACCTGTCTCGATCCACCTCAGTGAACCCCAAGAAGTCCTCAGACGGTGACGGCGATCTAGGTCGGAACTTTTCCTCCTTCACCAGAGACTGCAGAGCTTTGTCCGACAAAGGATCGTCGTCCGACACCGAGGGAGACGACGGCCGCTCAACCTAGACCGGATCAAGAGACCAACATTATTCAATTAAACATTAGATGCTCTTCAACCACAAAAATGAAAATTGGAACACATTTTGCGCTGCCATTCCCTTTTATCAACCTTGCAGTAAAAACAAAAAACAAAAACAAAAACAATGAGAGGTGATCACCATGCATTTATAAACTTACCCTTGGTGAAGTGACTTCAATCTTTATCTCCTCCTTCACAACTGGCCGAAAGTCGCTCTCAGAGCCACTGTCTATGGGAGTGGAATCACTTTCCCTCTGGGAGTGCCTCAGACTCTGTGAAGGACCCCATTCCTCGTCGCTGTCAGGAGAGCCCTTCCGAGACCACTTTGGTCCTTCTGGTGACGTTGATGCAGCCCGCATGAGCGGCAGTAATTCAGACACTGGTGGATCTGGAATGGGGTCCAACGTTGATTGTCAGTTCACATTGAGTTGACTAGATAAAAGCACAAAAGGGAGAAGTTATGTAGCAAGAAAATGCAAAGTTGCAGAGTTATCACCACCAATAATTGAATAATTCCTTATGTAATTGATGATCCATAAAATATCTCTGAATAATACCACTGGCATGGTTTGGTTTGTCAACAAGAATACCTACACGACGTAAATAATGTAGGTGCTCATTACGAGCGAGCGAGCGCAGCGAGCGAAGCGAAGTCTTTTCAATATAGGTAACGGAAAAATCTCAGTATGAGCGGCCCGGCCCGGCCCGGCCTGTAACGCTTCTGAGAGGCTTATATCTCAGCAACCGCTGGACCGAATGGCCTGCGGTCTTTTTTTGCTGGGTAGCCCCATCCCTTCTACCCCGTAATTGACTACTTTTGATACATACATTGACTGATACATTTTGATACATTGACTACTTCTGCTAAACTGCACATTTGCTTCGAAATTTTCCGACCCCACCGTCGCCGTATTCCCCAACGTTCCTTCTTGTGTTGACCACCGTCTGTCGGAATTCAATGTGTCGGAGGAGGCTGTGCGTGGTTTACTCCGGGAGCTCTCCGTCAGCAAGGCGTGTGGTCCTGACGGATTGAGCGCCCGCATTCTCCGTGAGTGTGCAAATGAATTGGCCGCCCCTCTGTGTAAACTTTTACGCATATCCCTTTCATCCGGTATCTTTCCTGAAAAGTGGTCTGAAGCCAACATAGTTCCCATTTTCAAAAAAGGATCGCGGAACGATCCAGCTAACTACCGTTCTGTATCGCTTCTTCCCCTATGTGCAAAGGTCTTTGAAAAGATTGTAAGCGAGCAACTCTTCCAACATGTCCAGCCTCACCTTTCTCCGTTCCAACACGGATTCGTCCCAAACCGGTCATGCGCCACGAACCTCGCGTCCTTCCTGTCGCACGGATGGGCGGCCATCTCAAACAAATCCCAGCTGGATACCGCGTACACAGATTTTAGCAGCGCATTTCAGAGTGTCAATCATTGTTTGCTACTGCATAAGCTCGAAAGGATGTACGGCGTTGACGGCAACGCTCTGCAGTGGTTGAGGTCCTACTTGGAGAGGCGCAAACAACGCGTTGTGTTGAACGGGAAAGTGTCCGAGTGGGTTCCGGTTGTGTCTGGAACACCGGAAGGGGGTCACATCTCTCCGTTGCTGTTCTCTCTCTATGTGAATGACCTGCCAACTGTTATTTCCGCCAGCTGTTTGCTGTTTGCTGACGATCTGAAGTTGTTTCACGAGGTTAGGTCCGATGATGATGTTCAGACGCTCCAGCGACACGCTGGGACTTGAACGCAGTGACACGCTGGGCGGCCGACTGGAAATTGAAGCTAAATGCAGCTCCAAATGCAAGTCATTTAAAATCACACTTAAACGTAGCCCCATTGACTCGACATATTCGATCAATGGCACTATTTTGGAAAATGTCACATCGATCCGAAATTTAGGCATCATTCTTGATCAAAAGCTAGATTTCGCCGATCACGTGCATTCAGTGGTCACACGGGCTAATAGAGCGCTCGGGCTCCTCATTCGAACGTTCCAGTCGGCTTCCCCCAAGTGTAAGCTGGACAGGCAGGCCGTGTTGGCGGCTTATTACGCCAATGTTCGATCTGTGGTCGAGTACTGTTCAGTGATATGGGGCGGAGTGGCCAAATCTCATCTCGTTCGTGTGGAGAGGGTGCAACACAAGTTTTTGATGTGGCTGGCTTGTCGCACCACGAAATTCGTCGCTCAAGTACTCGGACCTATTGTCATCATTTCGTGTGCCACACTTAGGAGCACGACGCGCAAAGTGTGATGTTCTGTTTTTATGCAAGGTGTTTAAAGGCTTCATCTCATCATCATATTTAATTGGGTCTTTTAAGCTCCATATATCCGCGAGGCCAACCAGAAACACACCATTCATTGATGTGCCGTTCGCCAGGGTGAACACCATATCAGGAGGGCTTATTGTGCGCATTCCTCGCTGCGTCAATCAGTTTCTTGAGTTCTCGCCTAGGTCAGATATTTTCTTTGACTCGATCGGGCGGCTCAAGCGAGAGGCATCGGCGTATGCGTCAACACTGGCGTGCGTTATGTGACAGTCGGCCTCTGTCGGATGCAAAGAAGTGGTTTGTGTGGGGGTGGGGTGGGGGGTATTTATGCATGTTGATGCATGCGTGTGCGTATGACTTCACCTGTCATTGGGCGTAAGCCTGTTGGTGATTTATGAAAATACAAGAATACAAGAATACATCTCAGTGACCGCCGTGGCACGTGCCACGTGAAAAGTCAAGGGTGTTCAAGCATTTTGCAAAAGCAATGATTTTGAGAGGCCCATATCTCAGCAGCAGCTTGAGCGATTGTCTTGCGGTCATTTTTATAGGGTAGCTGCATCCCTTCTACCAAAGGTCGGATACTTTTCATCTATGTGAGTGACCCCCACTGCACGTGCAAAATACAACAATAAGAGGTGCCAAATTTGTTCCCATTTCAGTAACTCGGTAATTACTGGGGCGATTTCGCTGAAACTTGGCATACAGGTAGGCACCCACCAGGCAATGCATTCCCAATGTGTTGCGGTTAGGGTGCTACTGCACATGCGCACGTGCAGGGGGCGTTTCCAGATCTCGAGAGCGGCTGGACCGATGGCGATCAAATTTGGTACACGGTTAGGGACCGGTTAGTAGGGTGCCGTGCAAGTCAGTCGGGACCCATTTTGCACGTGCGCACGTGCAGGGTGTCGCTTCCAGATCTCGAGAACGGCTGGGCCGATTGCGCTCAAATTTGGCACATCGCTAGAGACCGGTTAGTAGGGTGCCGTGCACAAGTCAGTTGGAGGTACCTCCTCGCAATTTCGCACGTGCAAGGCCCACCCTCTCGCTCGCTCCGTTAGTCGCCCCAAAAGGCGTTATACTGGTTCTAAAAGATCTCATAGCGAGCAATCCATTGTTTCCCCGCGTCTTTTTAGCTTTCTTACTTGCTGAGATTAACCGGTGTAGCAAAGTATAAAAATCCTGTGCATAAAAATCCCCCGCCAGAGGGGCCCCTGCCCATCAAGGGTCGCCTACCAGAGGGGCCTCCTGAATCCTGTCCAGAAAGGGCCTCCTGTGCAGAGGGAGCCTCGGGGGTCTCCTGCCCACGAAGGATCTGCTGTCAGAGGGGGCCTCTCGATTCCTGCCCAGGTAGGGCCTCCTGGGAGAAGGTACCTCACATCCAGGAGGGGCCTCCTGCTCATCAAGGGTCGTCTACCAGAGGCCTCCCCCACATGGCGTAACCCCCCCCCCCCTAAGGTTTTTCGCGAATAACTCGCGTAAAAAGCGGCCGATCGCGACGAAACTTTCAGTACCCTCGCATGGATCAATTTCACACCTACCCTGAAAATTTCATGACCCTGACCCAAATGACCTTTGACCTGTGACCTCTTTTCCGAGACCATGTTTGGCCAGAATCGCGATTCGGCGTATGTCGGCTCGCATTAGCCGCGCGTTTGCTAGCTTTTCGTGGTTTCCAACGTTCAAACATGTGATTTGATGTTGCTCCCATGCATTAGGGTGGATGTCAAGGTCACCTGAAGATCAGGTCAGGTAATTGACCTTTGGTGACCTCGGGTGACCTCGGTTCACTTTTTCGAGTTTTACATGTTTCTAGGCCAGTTTTTTTTAGCTGAATTCGAATTTAGCAACCATTTGAACATTAACGAAGTAGTTTTGGTGCCTTCGTAACATGTTACGAAGCTGTCAGAGGTGGTTGACACGTATTACGAATACCCGTCACAACCCCTACCGGTTGACCTGACCTGACCTGACCCGACCTGGTCTAAATGCTTAAAGACATCAACTCTGATCAAAACTAACACGATATTCGTGATCAGCACCCCGGAAAACCACATAGCAGCCACACTTTACGACTTTATAACAGGTCCCGATGTTCCCGGTTTTCGGGTCATTGACCTGACCTGGAAGGTCACCCGATGACCTAGGACCTTAAAATTGGGTATCATCGGCTTCGTCTCGTGACGGGCAGCACGCTCGTTTTTTCCGCGAAGCTCTAGCTCGATCAGGGCCAAACGCGAGGGGGGTCGTACCAACCCCCCCCCCCCCTTGTGCCGTCGAAGGACGCAAAATGGCCTGTGCCGGCGAGGGTTAAGGTGTGGAATACGTGGCCCAAATCACTTGCTGTCTGTTACTACTCCCCATTTGGGCTACAGAGGTCAACAAAGGTAACGACCCCAAATTTGCGCAGCAGACTGTGGCCCACCCAGTGGAGGTAGAGGACTGAAACTGGCACCGATCGACTCGCCAGAACCTGATACTAGTTTTACTTCCCACAATCGACTTTACCTCTAAAGGTAAAGAAAAGTTTTTACTTAGGATCATTCTCGCTTCCAGGTTCAGAAAATATTTTCACAGCAGTTCTTGAGCAGGAGGAATTTTTATGGGAAGCATATCATTCTAACATCAACCTATTTTGAAGCCAACCCTCTTATCCAGATAGGGTCTCCTGCCCAGAGACGGTGTCCTGTAGATGAAACGTCCCATTTACATGTAGAGGGCCTCCTGCCAATGAGGCCCCCTGGCTCATCCCAAGATAGAGCCTCTGTGCAGAGGGGTCTCCCATTTAGAAGGGGCTTCCAGTCCTGTGTATTAACGATCTCTTGCCGAAGGGGGCCTCCTGGCTCCTACCCGCATAGAATCTCTCGTGCAGAGGTAGCCTCCCACCAAGAAAGGGTCCTGTACAGAGGAAGCCTCGGGGTATCCTGCCCATAAAGGAGCTCCTGCCAAATGGGGCCTCCCACCTCCTGCCCAGATAGGGCCCTCTGTGCAAAAGGGAGCGTCCCATCCAGAAGGGGCCTCCTAAGCATTAAAGGTACTCTGCCAGAGGGGACTCCTGCCCATCAAGGGTCGCCTACCAGAGGGGGCCTCCTGAATCCTGTCCAGAAAGGGCCTCCTGTGCAGAGGGAGCCTCAGGGCCTCTTGCCCATACAGGATCTCCTGCCAGAGGGGGCCTCGTGATTCCTGCCCAGGTAGGGCCTCCTGTGAGAAGGTACCTCACATCCAGAAGGGGCCTCCTGCTCAACAAGGGTCGCCTACCAGAGGCCTCCTGGCCTCTGCCCAGATAGTGCTTCTGTGCAGAATTAAAGTAGTCAGGCAGGAAAGTCAAGTAAAAGTAAGTACCCGAAGCGGTGCCCAGGGGCCTCCTGAAAATGCCGGAGCGGGGGGGGGGAGCCCAAGGCCCCCTTCGGTGCGCCACTGTTCGCAAAACACCCGCGTAAAAAGCGGCCGATCGCGAAGAAACGACCTTTCAATGTCAAATTATGGTTCATTTGAAGGGTCTCGACAAGTGAAACACGATGCTGGCAAAAGTAAAATCGTGGCTCTTTTGAGTCATGTTATTGCTGAAAAACACTTCGTAAAAACGTTTTTTTTTAGTTTTTGCCCTCTGGAAGCCAACTGACCTCCAGTTGATCTGAGGTCAAGTCTGAGGACATGTTGGCAAAAGAGCATTAAAAGAGCGCTATCAAATGCGCTTTTCCGCGGCGCTGCAGCTCTATCGGTTCCCGAGTTAGCCGTTGGCGGTTTCCAAAATGTTGAATTGGCCAACATTTTACCTTTGGTGACCTCTGGTGATCTGACCTTTGACCTGACCCAAAAATTACTGCAGTGTTTTCGTCCTTATTTGGATGTTCTTTTGACTGCCATTTACCGCGCGTCGCTATGTGGCCCAGGAGCCAAGTTAGAAGGGAGGTGTTCAGGCACCCCCGGCCCAGCGCGGAAGTCTGGGAGCACCGGCCCGGCACTGGCTAATTTAGCAACCATTTGAACATTAAAAAAGTAGTTTTGGTGCCTTTGTAACAGTTACGAAGCTGTCAGAGGCTATCGACACCTACCTATCACGAATACCCTAACCAAGCAGGACCCCTACTGATTGACCTGACCTGTCCCGACCTGGCCTAAATGCAAGGCAACATCTGTGATCAAAACTAACATGATATCCATGATCAGAGTGCTGTTCACGGGCACCTGCGGTGACTGCGGTAGCTGCGGTAGATCGCAGGCTGTAAGTCCCGCCCACTTGTGTATACGTCATCACGCGTTCGTCTGCGGCGGCTGTGTCAATTTTGCGCCCAAGTAACACGAATGCGCAACTGCCGCGCCACTTTGTATGACAAATGGTTCCTGCGGCCGCTGCGGTCGGATCGTTTCGACCGCAGGAGACGCAGGCGACCGCAGCCGACCGCAGCCGTATGACGTCACACCACCCGCCCCATCCCCACTTTCTGTGACGTCATTACCCGGCTGACCGCCGAGCCGCAGCTACCGCAGCTACCGCAGGTGCCCGTGAACAGCACTCAGCATCCCGAAAACCAAATAGCAGCCACACTACAATGTCCCAACAGGTCTCAATTTTCCCAACTTCTAGGTCATTGACCTGACCTCAGAGATCAACATTTGACCTATGACCTTAAAACTGGGTACCGTACTTCAGGAACGTAGCCAAGGGGGGGCGGAGGGGGCGCCCGCCCCTCCCTTGAGGTTTTCAGGAGGCCCCCGAAAGGATTCAGGCCAACGTGGGCCTTCGGCTCACATTGGCCTGAATCTTTTCGGCCTGAATCCAACGCACGTTGGATTCAGGCGTGCTAAGACATTCTCATCATGAATCTGCCAGGCATTTGATGCGCATTTGATTCAAGTAGTGCGCAAATCTGTTTTTGTATGGGTCCGTACACAAATCTGCTATATTTGGGTACGATGACGTCACATGCGTACCCATTTTTAGCAGGTCCGTACCCATTTTTGGCAGATTTCTGTTAAAAATAGCAGACTGCTAAAAATGGCAGATTTTACCACAGTTTCCCCGACTGAGTTGGGGTGCTACTGCACGTGCGCACGTGCAGGGGGAGCTTCCAGATCTCAACATCAAGAATGGCTGGGCCGACTGCGCTCAAATTTGGTACACGGTTGGGGACCGGTGTCATGCAAGTCAGTTTGGACCCCATTTGCACGTGCGCACGTGCAGAATGCCACTTCAAGATCTCAGGAACGGCTGGGCCCATTTCGTTCAAATTTGGCACACCGCTAGCTACCTACCAGTTAGAAGGGTGCTTTGCACAGGCCCGTTGGAAGTCAAAGTACCCTCTCGTCCTTCCGCACGTGCAGGGCTCACCATCTCGCTCGCTCGTTCTTCGCCCAGAAGGCGTTTTACTGGTTGTAATGCCCACAGTACTACCATGCTGCTTCTTACCATGCTGATCCATCTCAAACTCCAACTCAAGATCTCTCGTTTTCTGCGTGAGTTGAGTTTTATATAGCCTCTATATCCTTCAGTTGAGAGTCCAACCGCGCATCACAACACAACACGCGTGCTGAACCACGTGCTACTGCATCAAAACTGCGTCATGAATGTCGAAATCCAAGGCTCAAGGTCATCGAAATCTACACGACCATCAAATAAGTAGCAGATTGATATTCGCAGCAAGATTCGCAGATATCCAGCTAAGAAATTGATATTCGGACGTGGACAAGCATTATCTATAAGAATCTTGCATCAATCATCACCAGACTTTGATGATGGCGCCGACGGTCTGTGTATTCGTTTTGTTAAAAAGTGCCTGATCTCACTGTACCACCCTCTTCGATCTCCCATCACAAATGACTAGATGAAATGGAGAGAAGTGGTCGAAGGAAACTAACAATTCTGTACACAAACATTGACCAATACTTAAACAAGAGGGAGGACCTGGCCATGTTCATTTCAAACAACGAGCCTGATCTGATACTTTTGTGTGAGGTCATCCCAAAAGCCCAGAGCCATCCAATGCACCCTGCAACTATGGCCCTTCCAAACTATACCATGTTCCTGAACTTTGACCCTGTCAAGGATAAACTGGGACAGGGGGGGCGCACGAAGCATCTGCATATTTGTCAGTGCAAAGTGGCAGGCTACAGAGGTGTCTTTCCCAGCCTGCTCTTTACTCTTATGAAGAACAGCTGTGGGTCAAGCTACCTTTGCTAGGTGCTGACCAGCTGCTCATAGGATGTCTGTACAGAAGCCCATCCAGTGACGGGAACACCTCAACTGACAACCTATCTCTGCTGAAAACTGTTGTTTCCCAAAAGTTCTCCCACATAGTGATTGCGGGTGATGTGAATATGCCCCAGATCGACTGGAACGATCACTTCTCCCCAGGGGTGTCGATTTTTCAAAATGGTTGGGGGTGCTCAACCCCTGCACCGGGTGAAAGATTGCAGCTTTGCCATGGGGCACAACCGTGCAAGGCATGGTTGGGTATCACCATAAGGTACTGATAATCACGGGATTTCCCCCCCCCCATCAGGTTCAGGGGCCCATCGGGTTATTCGGGCCTGAGGGGCCCTGCGGCGCCAATTGGCCGCTGAGAGTCCACGTTGGCTATATTTAGACTCAGAAGGGCCCCACAGGGCTCGTAAGAACACCTCATGGGCCCACAAGTACCAACATTAAGATCTCCATAAGGGCCCCAAGCCAGCCTCTGAGGGCCACTTGCCGGCCTCTGGGGGTCTTAACCGGCCTATAGGGAGCCAGCTCTAGGAGCTGCACACCCGCCTATGCCCCACACCCATTTCTCTGAGGGCCCATATAACGGCGACTGTAAGGGCCCTCACCGGCGTCCCTGAGGGCCCCACACCCCTAACTCTGAGGCCCTACACCAATGCCTTTAAAAACCCTACATGGGCGGTTCTGAGGGCCATTGTCAGTTACCAGCGACCCTGACGGCTCACACAGGTGACTCGGAGGGTCCCAGCGGCGTCTGAGCGCACCAGGCCAGTCTCCGAGTGAACCCCACAAGGCTCCTGAAGGCACCGGTGACCTCTTGATATCTTTTGTCGGCCTATGAAGGGTCCGTTCCGTAACAGCAGTTCTGAGGGCCCCACGCGCGCCTGTGATGGCCCTAAACCAGTGTCTCTGAGAGCCCCACAACGGCGCCTGTGAGGGCCGTCACCGGCGACTGCGAAGCCCCCACACCGGCGCCTCCAGTCCGAGGGCCCCACATTGCCATATCTGAGGGCCCCACACTAGTGCCTCTTAAGGCCCTATATCGGCGGCTCTGAGGGCCCAGCATCGTAGCTTCTGAAGGCCCCACTAGTGCGCATGTGACGGCCACCCTGCCACCGGTGACATTTGAAGGCCCCACACCGGCGACTCTGAGGGCCCCATCGGCGTCTGAGTCCGTTCCGGTCTCTAAAGACGACCCCGCAGGGTTTCTGAAGGTACCACCGGCCTCTGATGGCCCTTTGCCGGCCTCTGAGGGCCCGTCGCCGGTCTCTGGAGCCCCCTGCCGGCTTGTAAAGGGTACGCACCAGCAGCTCTAAGAGTCCGACACCCGTGTACGACGGACCCACACAAGTGTCTTTGCAATTTAACGTCTTTTTTCGCCCTTCTTCTTAAAACTAACTTTTCTTTTCTTTACATCTTTATTTCATGCCTTGTAAATTGCGTAATTGTTTTATTTTTTGTAGTGAAAGACTGCAGAACAATTATTTTCCTCAAGCAGAGTTAGTGGGAGTTATTGAGGGACAAAATCATTGGGGGTGCCCGGAAAACCATTGGGGGTGCTCATTTGAGCATTGGGGGTGCTGCAGCACCCCCAAAGGTATACAAATCGACACCCATGCTTCTCCCACGCTCCTGATGGTCACTACACCAAAAGGTTTGTTGAGGGCGTACAGGAATGCGGCCTCACCCAGCACGTAACCAAAGCCACAAGATACCGTGCTGGCGAGAGACCAAGCAGCCTAGATATCATCCTCTCCAACGAAGAAGGCCTGGTGACCAACCTTGCTTATCACCCACCTATTGGCAACAGTGACCACATGTTACTGCAATTTGAGGTGTGCTGCTACATGCAGCCTGAGGTAGTGAAGGAGGGACGACTCAACTTAAACAAGGGCAACTATCTACGGCTTAACAACCTGATCAGACGGAGACAGTGGCGTGATGAAATGCATATGGATATGCAAGAACGCTACGACACCTTCAAGACCGAGTTAGCCCACCTGGTGAACGCATGCGTCCCCAAAGCGTGTCCAAGGAAAAACAGAAGCATCTACATAAACAGGGAAGCCTTGAGGCTAAAGAACAGGAAAAAGAAGCTCTGGGCCGCTTACACTCGAGAAATGGATGACATCAGTCATGCAAGGTACGTTCGCTGCAAAAACGACCTCAGGCGACTCACCCGAAACCTGCGCAAAGACTTCGAAAGGAGACTGGCCTCCAACCTGAAAGAAAATCCCAAGGGTTTTTGGCGATACGCTGGCTCCAGGATGAAGACTACAAGCGGAGTTGAGAACTTACGCTCTGCGGACGGCACCCTAACTACGAACGACTGCGAGAAAGCGACGACACTGAACGACTTTTTTAATTCAGTCTGCGTCATGGAACCCCCCGGAGAAATCCCGGAGCCGAACAACACCTACCACGGTCCAGCTGTCACTGACATCGATCTCACCGTGGAACTCGTGAGAAAGAAGACGGCTGCCCTACGACCTTTTTCCGCCGCGGGCCCAGATGGAGTGCACCCACGGATCATCAAGGAAACAGCCGACTCGTTAGCAAGCACGCTTACCTCCATCTACCGATCGTCATTGGACACGGGGACCCTGCCGCAGGACTGGAAACTGGCAGATGTGGTTCCAATCTACAAGAAAGGAAGTAAAGATGAACCAGGGAACTACAGGCCAGTCAGTTTGACGTCTGTTCCGTGCAAGCTCTTGGAGTCGATCATCCGCACCGGCTTATGGCACACCTTAAGTCAGAGAACCTGATCAATGACGCCCAACACGGATTCCGTCCAGGGAGGTCCTGCTCTACTCAGCTGTTGCTAACGATAGAAGATTGGAGCAGCATGATTGAGGGCAACCGACCTGGCGACGTCATATACCTAGACCTGGCCAAGGCGTTCAACACAGTCCCACCTAGACGACTGCTGAGGAAAGTTGAAGCTCACGGCATCGGAGGCAAGATTCTGAGATGGATCGGCGCATTCTTGGAAGGACGGAAACAGCGAGTCACTGTTGGGAGCAGCAAGTCAGACTGGGCTCCTGTACCAAGCGGTGTTCCACAGGGTTCAGTCCTTGCTCCACTGCTCTTCACGCTGTACGTGAACGACCTGCCGGAGCCGCTAAGCTGCGGGATAAGATATTCGCCGACGACAGCAAACTCTATCGATCTATCTGCTCTCCGTCCGACTCGGCATCCCTGCAGGAGGACCTGGACGCGGCACTTCACTGGGCAGACAGGTGGCAGCTGGCATTCAACCCTGGAAAGTGCAAGGTGCTCCACATCGGCGGAGGCAGCCAGCACCACACATACCGGATGGGGGGAACTACAGTCGCGGAGTCGGATGTCGAGAGAGACCTTGGCGTCCTCATGGATACCCAGCTCAAATTCCGGAAGCAGGCTGCTGCGGCCGTAAGGAAGGCAACACAAGTGATGGCAGTGATTCGTCGGTCCTTCCACCTTCTTGACAAATCAACCCTCCCCCTGCTCCTCAAGGCCCTTGTCCGACCCCACCTTGAGTACGGGAACCTAGTGTGGGGTCCCTTCAACCGGGCGGACCAGCGGCTGGTAGAGCGGGTGCAGAGGCGGGCGACCAAGCTGGTTCCCGATCTTCGACACCCCCGTATCGAGAGCGTCTGAAAGTGCTGCAGCTACCAACGCTGTACTACAGACGGAAGCGTGGAGATATGATCGCGGTTTATCAGCTGCTCCGCGGTGGACTGGACATGGACCCTCGCAACTTCTTCGAGATGGCAGCCGACAGAACTCCTGCTACAAGAGGACACCAATGGAGACTAGCCAAGCCGCGAGCGGTCTCCAGGATCCGGCGCAACGCGTTCTCCATCCGGGTCATCAACGACTGGAACAGCCTACCGTCAGTGGTCGTCGCATCCGACACCCTGAACCAATTCAAAAACCGGCTTGACGCTCACTGGGCACACCATGCACACGACATCCCTCACGCAGATGAATAGTCAGACGCACGAGGAGCTCGACTAGAAAGGTTTCTAAAGGCCTAGTCTGGCCTATCCAAATTCTGTACTTCGTAAGTAAGTAAGTAAGTAAGAGTGTTGACACATATTGTTAACTCCAGCATCACATCACATGCCGTTCCAGAGTCTTGGAAACTCACTATCGTGCACCCTATTCCAAAGGCTTCCAAAGCTGATGACTTCAGCCGCTATAGACCGGTATCCATTCTTCCGACTATAGGGAAGATCACAGAGCGAGTCGTGTTCGAACAGTTGAACGCCTATTTTGTTCTCACCATTTGTTTTCCGCGAATCAGCATGGCTTTAGAAGCAACCATTCAACGGACACCGCGCTGCTAACCCTCACCGATCATGTTTTTCGTTCTATGGACCGGCGTGAAGTCACTCTATTGTGTCTGCTGGACTGTTCTCGCTGTTTTGACTCCATCCCGCACCACTCGCTTTTACGCAAGCTGGAGCTATACGGCGTCGACACGCGCTGGTTTCAAAGCTACCTGGCTGATCATTACCAGCGCGTGCAGGTGCAATCAACAGGGACATCTATTGACCGCACGCTCTCCAGTCCTCTCATGAACCCGATTGGCACCTATCAAGGATCCGCCCTCGGGCCATTGCTCTACAACATCTACTCCAACGATCTGCCACTGCACGTAGACGGCGGCCCAACGGAGATGATCGCCTACGCCGACGACGTCCAGCTGTTTGTCACGGGACAGCCGAGTGAGCTGGCCCAGCTTGTCGGGTCGCTCGAAGAGGCCCTGTCTGTAGCACACAACTGGTACAGCAAAATGGTCTAAAAATCAACGCAGCGAAGACCCAGTTCATCGTGCTCGGCTCACGAGAAATGACCCGTCGCATTCCATCAGTCAGCATCAAATTCGCCGGCTCAACCATCACCTGCTCAGACGCCGTCAAAAACCTCGGTGTGTGGTTTGAAAGGGACATGACATTTCAATTTGTCACGCACACAAACGACGTCATACGGCGGTTACCGGCACTTTGTGTGGACTGAGCCACAGCAGACACAGTCTGCCACAGTCGGTGATGGCCACCATGGTACAAGGCCTGGTGTTCTCCGTCATCCGGTACTGCCTATCTGTTTATGGGGCAAGCAATGCGACTCAACGCGGTCGACTTCAGAAGGTGATTCGGTTCGCCGCGCGTGTCGTCTCTGGACGAAAAAAATTCGATCGCGTGAGTGACGTCATCAATGAACGTGGCTGGCTTCATGCTGATAGCATGTACCTACATGTATCACCGACTTGTGTCGATTCACAAAATGTTAGCCACGTCTGAGCCTACGGCGCTGTCGGCTAGCCTGTCCATTAGACGGAGTGTACATGGGAGAGACACCCGTAGCAGTGACATGCTGGTGACTCCCACTATTTATAGTCACCGTGACTCCCACGATCAGGTCGGAGTTTGGGAGGCGCCGCTTTCTCTACTCGGCGGTATCTGACTATAACGAGCTGCCACAGACATTGCGAGAGTCAACTCCGGCTGTCTTTAAGCCCACGCTCAGGAAGTTCTTGTTAGAACACCAGCGTGAGCCCCAGCATGTCAACCATGGAATGTGATGCTACATTCTGCGATGATGTAGTGTTGTTCCTGTTAGCATGTGTCAAGTATGTGCGTTATGTAGTCTCGTTTCCCCAGTCCATTGCTATATGATGACACGAGCATGTAATAGCCTCTTGTTTTGACGGAATTGCTCACGATGTAAAATAAATAAATAAATAAAAGACTTATTAGTTTTTTTTACATACCTACCGCGAGAGGCCGCGAGAGTCGGCGGGCCTGGATATCCATTTATTCTGATGATCGGACCATACAAAGAGAAGAGTACATGAAACCACGATTTCATGTGCTTGGGACAGTTTTAGATCATTTCCGGCGCCAAAATAACAGTTTTCATATTTCCCCCATTGACTTATAATGGTGAGGTCACGTGACCGACCTGACCTCATGTGACATTTAGGTTAAATCCGAGATATACAAGTTGTGAGACCTCTGAAGGATACTAAGTCCTGTAAGTTTCATCTTCCTGTGAAAGTTCCTCTGGCACTGAGGGCGTTGCAAAGTTGCAACATCTGAGGACCTCGCAGAGGCTCATTTATGACGTCATAGGTCAGTGACCTGACCTGACCTGAAAACGCAGTTTAGGTCAAAAGATCCAACTTGAATAAAAGATTAGGTATGCCAAGTTTCAGCTGTCTACCCTAAGCGTATCGCGAAAAGCCCTATTAGGCGGCACCCGCCCCACCCCTTCTCGGCCGGCGAGGGTTAATGTACTAGTTCATGTACATGTATGCGCAGATATAGTATCATCTCAGCTAAAATATATCTCTAATTCATGTTCGACACATTCTAGAGTTGTTACAAAAATTAACTCATTATATTTCCAATTTATTTGACTATTAACCCTATTCCTGGCGGGGGGGGGGCCTCAGGAGCCCCCCCTGAGGTTTTTTGGTTATTCTCCCAAATGCGTTGAGCTAGGAAGCTCAAATTTTCTGACTTTTCCTAAAAGGCGTCTACGCAACATGTCTGAAAATTTGAGTTGATCTGACCTCAGGTCAGGTCACCAGAGGCGGTTTGGTGACCCTACCTCAGAAAAGTTTGCAATCACGCCAGAGCTAGAGTTTTTGACCGATCAATTTCTTCTCTTCAGGCTTTAGTTAGGGTACCAGTATGTGCAATTTGTATATCTCGGAATTTTGATATCGGTGACCTAAGGTCAGGTCAGTTTCGCGACCTCCCCATTATAAGTCAATGGGGGAAAAATCAACTTCCTGTTTTTACCACTAAAACGGGTCGGAATGGCCCCATATACCATACATGACTTCATATACGATCAACCTTCACTACCTTGAGGTCTGTTTTGCTGTTGGGCAGCTGTGAGGTCATGTGACGTCATCAAAGGTCACCAAAGGGTTTTGGCCAATAACTCCGTACAGGAACAAGATACAGACGCATGGATGGTCTCATTGTGTTCAGCTCGTCAAGACGCATCGAATGATATACATGATGACCTCGAGGTCACGTGACCTGAGGTCAACCTTTGACCTTGACCTTGCGAGGTCAACATATATATCATTCGATGCGGATTGACGAGAGGATCACGATGATGCCCTTAGTTTGTTCCTATCTTGACTAATTCGAAAGCTATTAGAGAAAAACTCTCTCCATATCTAGCGCCGCCATTTTGACTTTTTCGACCCCTGTGACGTCATCTTTGACCTGACCTGAAAATGACCTTAGTAAAAATTGTAGATCTTGACCGTGCGTATCCGATGCCGTTTACCGTTTGTCGCTATCTTGCTTCGTTCTGGAGATCTCAGGGGGGCCGAATCGGCCCCCCCCGCCAGTTTCTTGTCCCGGCGGAGCCCGCCAGGAATAGGGTTAAAGGGACCTCCCACCTTAACATTAGATTTGAGTTGAGATAGCCAAAGG